TTTAAATTTTATTTTTTGTATTCTTAGTGGAGACGGGGTTTCACTATCTTGAACAGGCTGGTCTTAAACTCCTGATCTCATGATCCACCCACCTCGGCCTCCCAAAGTGCTGGGATTACAGGTGTGAGCCACCGCACCTGGACTATAATCTTTAATTTAATTAAATTAATTTATTTACTTATTTTGAGACAGGATCTCACTCTATCATCCAGGCTGGAGTGCAGTGGCACCATCATAGCTCACTGTGGCCTCAACTCCTGGGCTCAAGTGATCCTCCTACCTCAGCCTCCCAAGTAGCTGAAACTACAGGCACGATGGGGTCTTGCTATGTTGCCCAGTGTGCCTCAAACTCCTGGCCTCAAGCAGTCCTCCTGCCTTGACTTCCCAAAGTGTTGGGATGACAGATGTGAGCCACCAGAGTCGGCCTAACATGTTCTTAAAGGAATAAATGTAAAGGATGCGTGAATTCTCAGAGGGCATCGATCTACTGCCATTGTAGCGTAGTTTTGTTTTTAGCTACTTTTTCGTTTTCAGTATTATCTCTGGTATTTTGCAGAGGGCCTGGAAGTTAGTGGCCTGGTACATGGTATTATTTGTTTCCCCTCCATCTCTGACTTCCGTTCTACAGTTACTTGCTTTGCCAAGTGTGGTGGCACGAACTTGTAATCCTAGCTACTCAGGAGGCTGGGGAGGGAGGATTACTTGAGGCCAGGAGTTTGAGACCAGTCTGGGCAACACAGTGAGACCCTCATCTCTAAAAATAATAATAATAATAATAGAATAAATGTTATTGGCTTTGGAGGGTGTTTTTCTAGCACTGATCCAAGCCCTGCCCCCTAATCAATGAGTTTGGGGAATGAGGGTTATAGAGTAGAAATCAGATTTGAAAGTCTCTTACTCCAGTATAATGTGCAAACAGAAAAATGAACATATCATAAGTGCACAGCTTTCTGCAGTTTTGCAAGCTGAACACCACCACGGTGTAACCAGCATCCAGACCCAGGAGCTGAACTTTTCCATCATCCCCAAGCGCCTCTTGTGCTCTCGGCTAGTCACTATTTCTGCGAGGGAGGCATGGTGGTGGGCACCTGTAGTCCCAGCTACTTGGGAGGCTGAGGCAGGAGAATGGCGTGAACCCGGGAGGTGGAGCCTGGAGTGAGCCAAGATCGCGCCACTGCACTCCAGCCTGGGCGACAGAGCGAGACTCCATCTCAGAAAAAAAAAAAATTCTTTTTTTTTTTTTTGAGATGCAGTGTCTCTCTGCGCCCAGGCTGGAGTGCAGTGGCACGATCTCGGCTCACTGCAACCTCTGTCTCCCAGGTTCAAGCACTGCTCCTTCTTCAGCCTCCCATGTACCTGGGACCACAGGTGCCTGCTACCATACCTGGCTAATTTTTGTATTTTTAGTAGAGACGGGATTTTGCTATGTTGGTCAGGCTGGTCTCGAACTCCTGACCCTCAGTTAATCCACCTGGCTCAGTCTCCCAAAGTGCTGGGATTACAGGCATGAGTCACTGCACCCAACCAGGTGACCACTATTCCGACCGAAATAATGTAGGTTCATTTGCCTGAATAAGCCAGATTGTAAGTGATTATATTAGAGGATGTTTAATTAACAGCCCAACAGTCAACAAAATCATTGGCCATTGTCCCAGCACATGTAAATGACACGGTGGTTGTCAGGACACAGAAAGGAGGGCACACACAGAGCTGTCACATTTTATGCAAGGGATGTGTTCCTGAATATCTCACATCATTGAAAATTCTCAAAATTCAAGCCTTGTTTTCTCACTGAAATAACTGTAAAGTAGGATTTGGATGACTTCACATTTGGACCTAAAGTGAGACTTATTACCTTTTTTTTTTTGAGACAAAGTCTTGCTTTTGTCACCCAGGCTGGAGTGCAATGGCGCGATCTCAGCTCACTGCAACCTCTGCCTCCCGCGTTCAAGCGATTCTCCTGCCTCAGCCTCCCGAGTAGCTGGGATTACAGGCCTGCACCTGGCTAATTTTTATATTTTGAGTAGAGACGCAGTTTCACCATGTTGGCCAGGCTGGTCTCAAACTCCTGACCTCAGGTGATCCGCCCACCTTGGCCTCCCACAGTGCTGGGATTACAGGCATGAGCCACTGTAGCCAGCTTAAATTTATTATCTTTTTTTTTTTTTT